CGATCTACTGAGCCGACCTGTGACAGTCTCATTGTCACAGGTCGGCTAGAACTATGAGGTGAGTGAAAAGCACTCACCTCATAGTTCTCCTTTAGGCTGGGTTCCCACCTAGGCGTTCGAAATATGCCTGTATGACGCGCGTTTTGCGGTCCATGTTTTAACCGTGATTTGCAGCCCACAAAACGCGCGTCAAACGCGGGCTACCTGGCTGTATCCTAATGGATACGCGCGGAAATACGCCCCAAAGAAGCTCCTGTACTTCTTTGGGCATAGGGCGTTTTTCAGCAAGTTCCGACACGCTGAAATACGCCCAAGTGAGAACCATGCCCATAGGAAATAATGGGATTTCACTTGCAGGGCGTTTTACAGCGCGTCGATCAGCGCTGTAAAACACCCAGGTGTGAACCCGGACTTAATGGCTCTAAAATTATTGCTCTCACTCCGTTTGCGGCGATATGCAACATGTGCGGCACATAGGCGCACCTGACACATATATGCGTGTGTATGTGGGGGGAGCGGACTTAAAAAAAATGTTTACAAAAATAAATGTTATGCTTCTTTATTTTTCTTTATCAAATCTTTCATTTTTGTATTACTTTTTTTTTTTTTAAATACAACTTTATTGCTATTACATGGGGGGCTAAGAAGCCCCCTATGGGATAGCCAATTTACATGACAGGTCCTCTTTATGGAGACATCAGGGGTCTCCAAGACCCCTAATGTCACCTAGGGACCCCCAGAGAAGCTGATGAAGCAGAGATCGGCTTCATCAGCTTCTCTAGCTGGAGAGTGACACTGAATGCAGGAAGTGATGTAATATACATCACTTCCTGCATTCGGGGACTGAGAGGAGATCAAAGGGAGTTCGTGTACTGAACTCCCTTTGATCTCCTGTTACAGAGCCGTGCCGGTCCCAGCCGCATCGGGCACAGCGGATCTCGGGACTGGCAACGGCAGTGACAGCTTCTAAAACAAGCGATCGAGCGTCTCTCGAGACGCTCGATCGCTTGACTGTAAAGCTCACGGCCGGCCGTGTAATTACAACGGCCGG